TCCCATGGCTTGCAGAGAGCTGCCTGTTTGGGGGCTGGGGTCGGGGGAAGCTCGGGCTTCCTCCGCCCCAGCCCCGCGCCTGCGGGGGAAATAATTTTTTTTCCCTTTATTTCCCCCCCAAAAAACTAGGTGCGCCTTATGGGACGGTGCGTCCTATAGGGCGAAAAATACGGTAATGGTCAGGGGTCCCTTTACCTTTATATATATTGGAAGTTGTCCAATGTGGCTGGGGCAAGCCAGTCAGATGGGTGGGGTATCTAAAACTACTACTACTACTATTGTTATTGTTATTATTATTGTTATTTAAAATAGGGCATCCCTCTTTTTACCAGGGAAATGTTGGAGGGTATGTTGTCATACCTCAGATATGGAGGGTATGTTGTCATACCTCAGATATGCAGATATGGAGGGTATGTTGTCATACCTCAGATATGCAGATGACACAACCTTGATGGCAGAAAGTGAGGGGGAATTAAAGAAACTTTTAATGAGGGTGAAAGAGGAGAGCGCAAAATATGGTCTGAAGCTCAACATCAAAAAAACAAAGATCATGGCAACTGGTCCCATCACCTCCTGGCAAATAGAAGGGGAAGAAATGGAGGCAGTGAGAGATTTTACTTTCTTGGGCCCCATGATCACTGCAGATGGTGATAGCAGCCGCAAAATTAAAAGACGCCTGCTTCTTGGGAGAAAAGCAATGACAAACTTAGACAGCATCTTAAAAAGTAGAGACATCACCTTGCCAACAAAGGTCCGTATAGTAAAAACTATGGTTTTCCCAGTAGTGATGTATGGAAGTGAGAGCTGGACCATAAAGAAGGCTGATCGCTGAAGAATTGATGCTTTTGAATTATGGTGCTGGAGGAGACTCTTGAGAGTCCCATGGACTACAAGAAGATCAAACCTATCCATTCTTAAGGAAATCAGCCCTGAGTGCTCACTGGAAGGACAGATCGTGAAGCTGAGGCTCCAATACTTTGGCCACCTCATGAGAAGAGAAGACTCCCTGGAAAAGACCCTGATGTTGGGATAGATGGAGGGCACAAGGAGAAGGGGATGACAGAGGACGAGATGGTTGGACAGTGTTCTCGAAGCTACCAGCATGAGTTTGAGCAGACTGTGGAAGGCAGTGGAAGACAGAAGTGCCTGGCGTGCTCTGGTCCATGGGGTCACGAAGAGTCGGACACGACTAAATGACTAAACAACAACAAAAACATGTTGTCAAACTTGGCTGGCTGCCACACAAGCTCTGTCCGGTTCCCCACCCCTGTAATAAAAAAATGGAGCTCCCTCACCTGAAAAATCTTTTTGGCATTTGTAAAAGAGAACTGCCACACTTGCAGAGTCTAGCTTCTCTCCCAACTTCAAGCTACAGAGGAATTAGCTTTCCTTTGAGGGATCAAGGGAAGTGTCCTCTTATCTGAAGTCCTTTTTCAGAGTCCCTCCAGCTGCCCCACAGTAACCCCAAAATGCGGATAAGTGTAAGATGGGTTATTACCTGTAATTGAATGTCACACTGATTTGTATTGCACTTATCAGATAATGAAGCATGTGTTGGGATCAGCTTGCCTTTCTCCCTGCCCTTGTACTAACATTAACATTCCTTCTATCATAGTCTGCTCTTATTGTCGGCATGAGATGGAGCAGTTTTGCCGAACAGAACAGCCCTGTCTGTACTGATTAAGAACAACACTCCCCTGCATATCGTTCTGCCACAAATATTTAAATTAATTAAACCTAGCCAAGGCTTTAGTTCAACCTAATGACTTTTCAGGGTAGCTTCTGAACACTCTCTGGAAATGAGTAAAATGTTACAGATGCAGCTCTTGAGACAGTTAATTAAAGAAATGAACTGTGCAAAGCAAAGAGGAGATAGTTCAAAATGCTTTATAATAACACTTAGCCCTTCTTGTTTCACTTTCAAGGGTTCAAAGTGCTTCAAAAGCAATACCTTACAGTAATTCTAACAGCAAGCCTCAGCATTAAAATGGCTATTATTGTCTGCCTCCATACTGCAGATGGGACTGAGGCTGAGAGGGAGCGTCTTGCTTAGAATGTTCTGCCAAAAGGCATGGATGGTGCCTAGGCCCCTTTGCTAGCCGTTGGGCAAGAGAGGCAGTAATACAGTGGTACCTCAGGTTAAGTACTTAATTCGTTCTGGAGGTCTGTTCTTAACCTGAAGCCCACTTTAGCTAATGGGGCCTCCTGCTGCCGCTGTGCCGCCAGAGCACAATTTCTGTTCTCATCCTGAAGCAAAGTTCTTAACCCAAGGTACTATTTCTGGGTTAGTGGAGTCTGTAACCTGAAGCGTATGTAACCTAAAGCATATGTAACCCGAGGTACCACTGTAATAATAATAATAATAATAATAATAATAATGTATTATTTATACCCCGCCAATCTGGCTGGGTTTCCCCAGCCACTCTGGACGGCTTCCAACAGAATATTAAAATACAATAGTCTATTAAACATTAAAAGCTGCCTTCAGATGACTTCTAAAAGTCCGGTAGTTGTTTTTCTCTTTGACATCTGGTAGGAGGGCGTTCCACAGGGCGGGTGCCACTACCAAGAAGGCCCTCTGCCTGGTTTCCTGTAACTTGGCTTCTCGCAGGGAGGGAACCGCCAGAAGGCCCTCGGCACTGGACCTCAGTGTCTGGGAGGAACGATGGGGGTGGAGACGCTTCTTCAGGGCAGGAAACATAGAGTGTTGACCTGTAGCCTCCAGAGTTCAATCAAAAGATGCCAGATTAGGGCTTGAACAAATTAGATAAATTGATGGACCGAGATCATTTCCTTGAAAGATAGCAAGTGGGTTATGAGCATACTTATTCACTATCTGTAGCCTTGGACCTGAAGGGGTTAGGTCAAGAATGGAAAACAACTCCTCCAAATCCATCTCCTGAGCTTTCATATTAGTGTACAAGCAGGTCTCTGAGTTCAAGTTCCAATCTTATACATGTCATTTAATTGTTTAGCTACTGAATCAAATAGGGACTTAGCAAGCTCAGACCTATCCCCATCTAGATGTACCATCACCAACTCCAGTTTCTTTGATAGTACATCCTTTCTCTGGTGCTAAAATTAGAATTCCTGTCTCCACTAACCTGATCAGTGTACCAATTATGGCATTCAAACCAGAAACTTCCTTTTCCAATGTGTCCATCCTGCTAAAGATTCACTCTGCTGTTTGTTTTGACAAGAGACATTGGTCATATAAAAGTTCCCACAGTGAGGGAGTTTCAGTCTCTGTTGCGGCTGTCTATTATGCCAAAATTGTTATAACACATTGTTGAGGTTTACTTATATGGAGTAAGTTGAGGTTGCCCGAGAGCATATGTATCAGCTCCCAACGAGTGTGGATTAATTGACCAGCTAGTGCAACTTTCATTAAAGAAATATGTAGCAAAATCTCTTATTTTGGATAAGGCATCTCCAACCCCATTTTGTGTACACTCACCATGTAAAGAACCAGGGCTGTCCATATAAGACAAATTAATTGCATCTTGCCACAGTTGTTTTGCAGTTACCTCCAACTTCCTTGCTCCAGCTGCTCCACTTGCTGAATCACAATAGTCCAGCATAGATTTCTGGACTAAATTTGGCAATGACATTCCAGATGATTTATCTGAAGCACTGCAGGTCTGTGATTGTGGGGTAACCATATTAAAATAGCAGTCTCCTTCCGTCAGGATGAACACTCTTTATCAGCTAAATGCTCTTGCTTAAGGAAAAAAAGATTTTAAAAGATAATTTCTTGGATGCCAAGATCCAGATTTGGGGCAAGTACTCTGTGGTGAGAGAATCCCAGCAGAAATTTAAAATCACAAAATATGTAGCAACATGAAGCGTGGAAATGTAGGCTGTTAGGCCTTTAAAATAAGCCCTTCTAAGTTCCTTCCAAAGTTTTCCACTTTCGTTAGGATAGAAAAAGGCCACACAATTGGAAAGTTAAAAATGGTTTACTTATTTACTTACAAACCCTTCAAATGTCAAATTGACGGGTTCTTCCAAATAGCACTCATAAAACACAGGCAGAAAAACTTGGGTTAGTTCCAAAGTGGTGAAAGTTCCTCAGTTATTTGGTACAGGAACACAATGGCTTTGTAGAAAAGCCATGATTTCTGAGCTTGGAGCATACTCTTTACATACTGGAGTTCACATGGTAGACCAGTGTTTCCCAAACGGGTCTCCAGCTATTTTGGGGCTGCAACTCCCATCATCCCTAGCTAACAGGACCAGATGGTGGGTATTGTAGTCCAAAAACAGCTGGAGATCCAAGTTTGGGAAACACTGTGGTAGACTGAGGGAACAATAGGGCTGACTTCCCTCCTCACAAGGTGAGTGACAGGTTACTCTATGGCATTAACCCCACTCATGCATTAATTAGACTTAAGCATTTTGTTTATATGAGAACTGGTGCAGTGAGAGAGATGCCGAAAGGCCCCACAGGCCAGTCATTGAAACTTCCTCTGAGCATAGTGCCAAGAGCCGCAATTGGTCAGTTGGTCCTGCACCCACCAACCAACCCCCTCTGCCATTGGCCCTTTTGAAGACAGGAATAGGATCCAGCCTGCAATAGGCTGGTTTTCAAGGGAGATTGAGGACCTGCCCACAAAGGCGCCTGCCGACAAAGCAGGGGAATGGACTTGTTGCCATGTTCACCAATATCTTGTTCAGTATTCTCTGTACTCATTGTTAGTGACTCTCAAGGGTTTCATGGATGGGTCTTTCCTAGCCCTGCCTGCAGCTGTCAAAAACCAAACCTGGAATCTATGTCTTGCCAAGTCCATGCTGTACCACAAGGGTACAGCTCAGCATTCTATACATTCCCTCAGCTCAGCATTCTATACATATAAATATCTGTTTGAAAATGTTTCTTCTGGCAACAGTAACAGAGATAGAGAGATGGTCCAAGCTTATGGTCGCCTTCAAGTTGCTCCCTAGAAGTTATCCTGTATGCATAGCACTATCTTCAGCCTGTCGTCATAACAGGGGCCTCCTAAGGAGCAATTTCAATTAGCAATAATCACACCTCAGATTAACCTCATTGACTATGATATCACCACTGCCATATCAAAGATAGACACTGGCATCTGTGCAAATTAGAGATATAATGAGGACCCCTCTTGGTATACCATGCCCCATTAGCTCATACAGCTACCAAAATCAGTTTTAAGCCTAAATTTTAATTAGCTGAGCTTTGAACTAGGACAACCTTGCTCAAGCATATTAAGTGGTGATACTGCTTAATTCCATGCGAAGACTTTTGCATTGGCTTTCAATTCACGTCAGTAAAATTTTCTTAAGGAGCAAGACAACATGACCAAGGCCACTGAGAAATATGTAAATGTTGGTGTATGGAGTGCTCTCTGATCAGTAGTCCCAGCCAGCCCCTCTGTTTCATCTTGTAGATTTGTTCACACATCACACTGAACGTAAAGGCAAGCTGCATCTGCACATGTATAAGTGTTCGTGTGAAAAGGTGCACAGCTGTGGTTTTGTAAAGCTCAACTGTTGTGCAGACAGGTATTGAGACTGTGTACTTATTGAACATTATATACCTGTATGAATAACTGTAAAAAGTGTCCATCTCAGTTGTCTGTTTGCACAAGGTTACAGATTGTATGATAGCTGGATGTTATGCATGAGCTTCCCTTAACAGTCAGTGAGTATTCCATGGCCAATGACAACATTTCTCATTGGGTTGCTTTATTTTCCCTCCCATGAGGATTTTCTTCCTTTCCTTCCTTCTTCTGTAAACCTCAGGGTTCTCCCAAGCCTGCTGAAACCTCCTCTCATGTGTGGGTAGTGCCATTTTTAGCTATGTATATGTGTGTGTGTGTGTGTGTGTGTGTGTGTGTGTGTGAATAGTACTGGGAGGACTGAATTTGCTATTAGTATATAGAGTGAATGGTTTTACAAGGGCTTCTCAGATTGTAATAATATGATATCCCCCCTCTCTTTGTTCATGTTCTAATCTCCTACAGAACATTCTGTAAGGGAAAAGATTCAATTTTGTCTTAAGCAGGTTGGTCTCAACTCAATTTAAATCCAGCTAAGAGTTCTAAATTGATATGTAAGTAAGCGAGTCAAGAGCTAAGAGTCCCATTCAGAACAAGCTGGAGAAAGTGTTCCAATTCTCATTTACTTCTGCTAGGACTGCCCTAATGGAATAAACCAGACAAGAGCGATATCATTTGGAAGGTTGTTATTTGGCAGGTGATGGAGTATAGAAGACTTAATTCATGATTGTGCCCCCATTGGTAGGCAATGGTTGAAATTGGGCAGACTAACAGAAGATTGCTCATTTAACAGTATTGGGGGTAGGAGGAATGAGAGAGAAAACATGCCCCAAATCTGTTCCAATTGTAAAGGGAAATCCTAAATACAGGTAGCTGCAATAGATTATGCTGCTTTAAATTAAGATGGCATAAAGTACACCAGATCCAAATACCATTCAGGAGTAGGGCTACTGCTGGCCGGGGGGGAGGGGAGCCTTTAAAATAGAGTTTGAGTTGCATCACCCTTTTTGCTGTCTTAATTTAGGTTGGGTTACCTTGTTACATGGATGAGCTGGATGGACTTAGAATGCAGCCTAAACTCCCCTAATCTTGTTTGGCCCCACCAGTCCCCCTTTTAGGCCTTAAGACATGGTAGGCAAACTAAGGCCCAGGGGCTAGATCTGGTCCAATCGCCTTCTAAATCCAGCCCGTGGATAGTCTGGGAATCAGCATGTTTTTACATGAGTAGAATGTATCCTTTTATTCAAAATGCATCTCTGGGTTTTTTCTGGGGCATAGGAATTTGTTCATCCCCCCCCCAAATATAGTCTGGCCCACCACATGGTCTGAGGGACGGTGGACCAGCCTATGGCTGAAAAAGTTTGCTGACCCCTGCCTTAAGATTTAGGCTGGGAGAGGGAGATATGTCTCTGACTGAGCCAGGATGAGGGAGTTACATTGATGTAGACCAGATGAGTGAATCCTAATCTTGCTCATCCCAGCAGATCCTGCCTTTGGATTGTGCCCTTAGTCAGTTATAATAGCTGTGCAGGTGTTCACATGGAAGGGGTGGGGATTCTCATACCCTTTTCTAGTCAAAATCGCCTACTGGCTCTTCTCCATTCCCTCTTTTAGTGTTCTTGATCGTCTTGTAGAGAGAACATCATTGAGTCAAGATATTTCAAACACCTGAGACACATCCTTTTTGGAAAAATTGGCAAAGCTGTATGACAAAGTTTGCAACAATCAGACTTGCAAGATAAATCCTTATTCATTCTAAGCTACAATGTGGACATGGGTCCACATATAACAGGCAAACTCTGAACCTTGCAAATTATGAACTAGGAGAAGATGCTGTTGAAGAATCATTGTGCACCATATATAATCACATCTAAACATCTAAGGAGCAATCAAAACCTATTTTGTGTTTTGTGCTTAGATAATATTATTGGCAGGAAGAGTTATTGATTCTTTTGAATTTAAATAAAATGATCACTTTAAATAATCAAGCTGTATAAATATTATTTTTTGTAACAGAAGCTCTGAAATGTAGTGTCCAGATGAGTCATTGATCTCTGAGACAGTCAACCAGTTGTAAATTATTGTAATGACTATTTGTAAATTGATTCAGTGAAAAAGGTTCACTGTCTATCAGTATGAAACAAGCTAATATGTGTTTATTGCAACATCTCTGTCAGCTGCAGAATATCAGATAAAAGAATGAAGAAAAGAGTGTACCTTTTCAACCATAGAATCCATGTAAAATATAAATAATACCTTTTATGGGGAAGTGAGCCCCATTGAATTCAGTGGGAATCACTTCTGATCGACCATGCATACAACTGAATCTTTGCAAGAAGTTTCTGGTAAGAGGCTCATTATGAGAAGAATCACAGTTTCAGACATTTTTTGGTTATGTGCTTGGCTGACAAGCAGATAGGGTACAGCTGTCATCTGTGGGATGATGATTGAACATATGTAAGTGAGAATATCTCTGGAGGTTTTAGCAACAATGATTCTACACAGCATCAAAAATGTGATGTATATATGCTAGAGCTGAGATGAAGGTTGCTGAAATTGGAGTATGATGGTAGGGAATTGGGTGGCTGCCCTTTGTGCATATACGTGGCCATTATTCCATCAAAATAAATGCTGCTGTGTCTGAGGCATTCTGATGTTAAAAAAAAAAAAAAAGTGCCTGGAAAGGGGAAGTCTGCTGTTGTGTTGGTGGCAGTAAAAGCAAACAAAAAATAACCTGATATCACCACTGAGAAAAGGTAAGCACTTCCCCATGAACCTGACAGTCATGTCCCTCCAGGATACCATCTTGGTGACCCTGCTTCACATCTCAGGTGTTTTTGCCTGGCTGGAAAGTGTCCTCAAAGAGTTGTGTGAGTGTGTGTCAAAACTAGTCTACCGTACAAAGGTAAGATTTACCTTTGTTGTGCCACCCAGTTCTGCCCTTGGCTCCATCCAGTGCTGGCATGTGGTCCTTTGTCAGGGACTGGCTGAACGAGGAAGAGTGGTGGCAGCCCGTGGTCCAGGAGGCACCTGAGGGGGAAGAGGACTTTGAACTAGGTTTAGACTGGTGGTTCAGGGAGGAATCATCAGCAGAGACTGAGGGTGAAGGGGAGAGGCTTGAGGTAGCCACAGATGGTGATAGAGAAGGAGCAGGGGCGAGAAGTGAGGTTACAGGGAACCAGGCAGAGGGCCTTCTCGGTAGTGGTGCCTGCCCTGTGGAACGCCCTCCCAGCAGATGACAAGGCAATAAACAACTATTTTACTTTTAAAAGACAACTGTTTAGGGAAGTTTTTCATGTCTGATGCTGTATTGTTTTTAATATTCAGTTGGAAGCTGCCCAGAGTGGCTGGGGAAACCCAGCCAGATGGGCGGGGTATAAATAATAAATTGTTGTTGTTGTTGTTGTTGTTGTTCAATACAGTCCTGATTCAGCTCCTTCCCTTTCCCCACTCTCAGTGGAGGAACGAAGGGTTGAGAAAAGGCTAGAACAATTAAGAATAGCTGAGTCACAGCAAAAAAATGCAAGGAGGGAGGTATAAATAAGGGGCGGGGGAATAGGGGCCGGAACTTTAGCTTCTGCGACTGACTTGCTTATCTGATGGATGTGCAGTGTGTTGACTCCTTGGTTACTGAACAATAAAGTTAATTACTGCAAACACTGTGCCTGGTCTGCTTACAGCATCGGACAACAGACAAAAGGGCTTTTATGGCAGCCTGACAGTGTGCAAGATCCCAGGGGTCTTGACAGCCTGTAGTGTCTATGGTTTACTTACACATATTTACACCTGACTTTGGGTGAAGAGAGGGTTCTGAGTACCACATCTCAAGAGGGGCTTGCTCCCCACAGTGGCACAGCATTAGATTCAAAGGGCATCAGATTTGTCAGGTTAATGTCTCTGCTTACATCTGTTTTTGTTCTTTGATGGCACCTCTCTCAGCCAATCTCCCGAGGAAGCTGGCTTGACTTATTTTTTAGGCCTTGCTAAATTCGTTGTTCAAACCCCATAGTTACTAATTTCATATATTATGAGAAGAACTGGCACCCAGGAGATCCTTGCCCCCTGCAAACCTATAACAATATAGTCTAACTGACTCCATGAAGTGACAATTGGGTATAGTATGAATCTATGAAACCACCACAACAGAGCATTCATGCTTTGGGAGAGCCCTTTTGAACACCTGTCAGTCAAAATAATGGCTAAATGTATGGTTTCAATATTTTGGACATAGTCACTATCTAATGGAAATAAGGTCCTCTGAAGACCTTTTTAACTGCCCTACAGAGTAGAAATAATTGACACTTTCCAGTAAGTGTACAGATATTGAAACTATTCCCTTTATTAACTCTAACGTCTTTCTCTTTAATATGTGCATTAAAGATGATGGCATCATATGCAAGGGCATCAAAGAGGCTAATGTACCATAACGTTAGAAACTGTCTATTACTTTCTCTAAGGAAAACATTTATTTTCTCTAATGACACTGAAGTTTAGAATTATGTTCTAATTTTTGGATTCATTCCACACTTGGAATATTAGCACTTCTAGGGAAATTTGCATGTGATCTGGCTGGGTGTAATAGCAGTCCTTTGCCATTTGCCATGGCATAGTTACCGACACACCAAGAAAAGGGGGAAAAACATTCATTTTAAATCCAGAAGAAAATAGATTATTTTTATAGGGTTGCATCCAGCTAAGTTCTACATAGGGTGGACCCACTGGAATGAACAAACCTAAGTTAGTCATAAGGGATACGGGTGGCACTGTGGGTAAAACCTCAGTGCCTAGGACTTGCCGATCGTATGGTCGGCGGTTCGAATCCCCGAGGCGGGGTGAGCTCCCGTCTTTCGGTCCCAGCTCCTGCCCACCTAGCAGTTCGAAAGCACCCCCAAGTGCAAGTAGATAAATAAAGGTAAAGGTAAAGGTACCCCTGCCCGTTCGGGCCAGTCTTGTCAGACTCTAGGGTTGTGCGCTCATCTCACTCTATAGGCCGGGAGCCAGCGCTGTCCGCAGACACTTCCGGGTCACGTGGCCAGCGTGACAAGCTGCATCTGGCGAGCCAGCGCAGCACACGGAACGCCGTTTACCTTCCCGCTGGTAAGCGGTCCCTATTTATCTACTTGCACCCGGAGGTGCTTTCAAACTGCTAGGTTGGCAGGCGCTGGGACCGAACGACGGGAGCGCACCCCACCGCGGGGATTCGAACCGCCGACCATGCGATCGGCAAGTCCTAGGCGCTGAGGTTTTACCCACAACGCCACCCGCGTCCCGAAGTAGATAAATAGGTACTGCTTTATAGCGGGAAGGTAAACGGCGTTTCCATGTGCTGTGCTGGTGCTGGCTTGCCAGAGCAGCTTCATCACGCTGGCCACGTGACCCGGAAGTGTCTGCGGACAGCGCTGGCTCCCGGCCTCTTAAGTGAGATGAGTGCACAACCCTAGAGTCAGACACGACTGGCCCGTACGGGCAGGGGTACCTTTACCTTTACCTTTAAGTTAGTCATGTCCATTAACATCAGTGGAGCTGCTCCAAGTAAAACTTATATTGGATGCAACCCATAGATTCTACTGGGCAAGATAGTCTGAATACATAACACAAAGCTGGACACTGCTCCATTGCATACCAAATAGTTTCCAGGCACAATTCAAAGTGCTGGTTTTGATGTAAAAAGCTTTATGTACCAAATACCTCAAGGACCAATTCTCTCCATATGAACCAACCTGGATCCTGAGTCATCTGAAGCACTTCTCCCCTCTGAGGGAGGTGCAGAGGGTGGCAACACGAGAATGGCTCTTCTCGGTTGCTAAAGTCAACCTTGTACATAGTGAGCTTCCTTATACCAAGTCTCACAGTCCTACTTAAAGATGCCAGGGACTGAACCTGAGACATTCACCCATGAGTTACAAATCATCCACTTTTGCAATTGTTGTTTTTTTTCCCCTTACAGCAATAGGATATTTAGTAATCAGGGTACATTTCTTTTTTATCTGATGCGTCAGGGGTCTTATAACAAATGACAGAAATTTGGGCTACGCAGGAGAAAAGAATGGATGGATCAGACTACATTTGGTCTGAATGTGGTTTTGTTTCAATTTTACATGTGTTTAGTCTTAAGTCTGTTCGTGTGCGTGTGTGTTTGCAATAGCTGTTCCAAGTGTCTAGAAAGTGTGACTACTTCAATGCACATCGAAAATGGGGTTGTATGTGCCCCTGAGAGTGATTGGAGGTCAAGACTTTTTTCCAGCTGGAACTCAGTGGAACTCAGTTCTGGCACCTCTCAGGTGGGTGCTGTTGCCATTTCTAGAAAAATAGCACTGTTGGAGGTAGTGATATATCGTCTGCCCCAGGATCATTGCAGAGGATGAAAAGATTGCTGCTTCTGTGCACTCATGTAGGCAGCATATTTTTCCTGTACATTGCCATTGTTCTCTGGCCCCATTTTGAATGTATGTGGCCTTGGCCATGTTTTCTAGCCATTTGGAGCAGCTGCTCCCTGGTATATATGAAATGCAGCCCTGAGACCACATAGCAAAAGGATTAGGAAGGACAACAGCATTCCAATGCCCACAGTAGTCTGTGGAGATCAGTGCCAATCAGGTGAGTTAGCTTTGGAACTCAGACCAGTGGATCCCTCTAGCATCCCTGTATAGGAATCACATGAGTTGGCATCCAATGTACATCATGCTAGCTTTGTGTATGTGTGTGTGGTCATAGCTGGGGCTTTTCATATGTGTATGTAAAATTATTGTTATAGCAGCTGCCAGTCTGGCTCACTCCTTTCCCCACTTTCTTGATATGATCTGTGTAAAGTTTCTCAAAGGGAAGTGAATAAAATATGAGTCTTCCAAACAAGTATATTAAAATGTACAGCTTTTGGTGGGATGTGCTCCCCCCCCCCTGCCTTCCATTCTCCCGGGGCACAAAGGCAAGGAGATTGGCCAAGTAGTATTTTATGCATTATGAAGTACAAAGCCAACCTAAATAAATAATTGCAATCACAGCTACTCAAGAGGAGCAGAACTGTTCTTGTCTATGGAATTTCCCTTTTGAAAGCAGATACAAGAGCATCTATAAAATATCATACTTTGAGGACCTTGATATGTTGCAGGTTGCCTGGAAATGGAATAGAGAGCGGCGTGTGAGTAAATTAACATTTGCTATTCCACTTTTGCTTCTGGCCCTGCCACCCCTGGCTTGTGGCCCCCAGAATATTACCTAGAAGGAAATGCTGCCCTCATGCTGAAAATGACTCTCCCACCACCATTGTAGAGTGTACTATCAGACATAATATCTCCAAGCTTCCCATATCATGTCTTTCCCAACCGGCAAAGGGTGAAGGCATACTCAGTATGGTAATGTCAGACTGCACTCAGCCATCAGGCTGGGCCTGACATCTCATAGGGTTCTGTTCTTTGCACTGCCCATCCAAGGATAGCAAGGGAAATGCTAGCAACAAAAAGTAATTTAGGCTGACATCCTTGAGACAGCAAGAGCACTTGATGTATCCATTGTTGACTCTTAACGTATGTTTCCCCTCCATGATACGCAGGAAAAATAGACAGTTCCCAGACCATCTCTCTATACAGTTCATGACAACTGTTGGAAACCATGATGTCAAAAAACAAAGATGGCTTAATATATATGCACAACAAAGGCAGAGATGGTAATTCAAGCTTTAATTTGACTAGGCAGGCAAGTGTTCGTTAGCCAGGCTTTTTGACAGCAATAAAAGCACTGCTATGATTTCTTTTGTGGTCCCAATCAAAGCTCCCACAGCACAGCTATTTGCAGTGTGACTGTTGTGGCATGGAATCAGGGCTGTTTTATGAGTTTAGGAATGGGGCAAGGTATTTAAAGGGCAGAACTCCAGAGACAAAATTCCCCTGCCTGAATAGGTAGCCTCTATTTTGAGTCAGGTCCAGTTCCCTTAGAGCTGTGTCAAACTCAATATAAGAATGTCAGAAGTAGAGAAGGGTGAATTTGTGAGTTTCAGTGTATCTCACCTTCTCATTTTTCCAATCTTAAATTCAGTTCTCCATATTTTCACATCTGTTTGTGAATTTTTACTTAAAGTTCTCATGAAAATTTAGTGTGACGTTTTCCTGATAGCCCCATGTTTATATGCTATTTTTTCCCCAATGTACACATTTTTGCAAAGCAATTTCCCCACATATTATGTTATTTTCACTAATATATGCAATTGCTTGTACACTTTAGCCTAGTATATGCATTTTTATACACATTACTTGGCGGCAGTACTGCACTTCAAAATTCAGTAACATGATTTTTGAAGAATGACTGTGTTTTTGGATCCCATGTTGTTTCAGAAAGTGAGTATCAGATAAGTTCACCTTTCCACGTGTACTAAATCAAATCCTTTGCGGTCCCAAGAGCCCTGTTGGATCACACCAAAGGCCTGTCTAGTTTAGCATCTCCAGATACCTCTGAGTGCATTAACCCTCTCCCCTTCATTTTCCCCAACAGCTGTTCTTCATACTGCCTCTGATGCTGTAGTTAAAAGTGCCATCGTTATAAGTAGCCACTGATGGGATTTTAAGACCACCTACACTACTTCCCTGCCCTCCCACAAGCAGAGGGAGCACTGGGACTGGCTCAGCTGGGGATTGGGAGCCTTCCTGCTCCCCAGTTGAGCTGTGCAAAGGACCCCGGATGCTCCCACTGCTCATCTGCTACCCCCCAAAAAAACCCCAATAAATAATCTTTATTTATTTGACATTTTTGGCACAGCTCACTCTATTTGGAAGAGCAGTTAGGTAAATTCTCCTGGAGAAAGAATTAGGATGGTACAGTGTAAGCCCTACAATATTCACATAACAAATTGCTTTATTAATAGCAGTTGCTTTGTCAATTATGCTTATTGAAAAATATTGTTTTGTCAATTCCATTCGATCATTGGTGATCTTTTTATTACTGTTTTTACATTGCAGTGGTTATTCATGTATTCATACCGGATTGTGTTGTTTTACAGTGTATGGCCTTGATGGACTTCACTTTTTGTTCTCATGCAGTTACACAAATATTTCTGTATTTTTCAATGTTCTATCAATTAACAGTTCAATTCATTTCAGTTACAGTCTTGAGTCTGTAGTCCTTGTCACTTATTATATTTCTTTCCACTGGGGTTCATATTTGGAGCAAAATTAACAGTGGGTTGATCAGGATGTAATTAACATGCAGAAAGTATTTATTTCTCAAATCTCTACCAACATAGGAAACTTCTTTATATAAAGTCAGGGTATTGACCTGTCTAGTTTAGTATTGTCAACCCGGACTGGCAGGACCTGTCCAGGATTTCAGTCAGGGAACATTCCCAACCCTACCAGGGATTGAAGCTAGAATTTTTTGCGTGCAGAGCAGATGCTGTACCACTGAGCTATGGCCCTTTGCCTTATCTAATATTTTTTGTTTCATTTTGGGGAACATGAAGCAGCTATTTTGTCATTTAGTGAAGCTTTCAGCAATGTGGTTCAAGTACCCCTAACCTAAGATATGAGTGTCAGGCAATTCTGCTGTATCTGCTTTTAGGATTTTAATTATTCAGTCTTTTAACAAAATATTTATTTTATGTCAAATGTTGCCCTCTCTCATTCTCTCTCTCTCATATATATAAATTTTCTCTGTTTGGGACATTTTCCTGAATATTATTTGCATAGAAAACAAAGATGAACCGTTTCCCAGCTGCTGCCTCTGTTGTTTGCACAATCATGCCAGGTGAGGCTAAACAGCAAACCCTTCAGAAGTAAACAGAGAAGCGCAAATATCATTCCCATTGGAAGAAGAAAGAATCCCTTAAGATAGGTAGGGAACCTCAGGTCTCGAGGGCCAAATATAGCTCTCCACAACACTCTACCAAGCCTTTGCAACTCTCCCCAGGTCCTTCCTAAACTACATCCCTCACAAAACTGCTTCATGATCTGAAGTGCTTTTGCCTAACTGGAATGTGTCATTGAACAGTGATAATTCCTATTTCTTCTCTGAGTAGAGAGATGCGTTTAAGTGTAGAAACCTGTATTCTGCATGTAATATGAATGTAGTATATAAAGGGAAGAGTAGCATCTTTGCCTCACCCATCATTTCTTCTGGCCTCACCTACCACTGCTAGGTGACCCTCTGGACTGTGGCCCACATTCTGACTGTCAAAGCTTCCTCAATCCTCCTGCTGTAAAATATATATCCAAATGACTTTTTAAAAGTTGGTATTATTTAGGAAAGCTGACTAGATCATTCACACTTTCCATTCTGCTTTGTTAGTTGTTCTGTAAAACTTCCCCAATGTATGAGGGCCCCTGCAGGTGACATTATTGTCACCTGGAGGGGCAGTCCTGCGTTCTAGTGCAACCTCCTTAACATTTGTGGTGTGGAATGTTACGGGACTTCAGCAGGAAGTCATGGGGCTGGACTGGAAATGGCACTGACTGGAAATGAAGCAGCATGTTCACCCAAAAAATATTTGCAGGCACAAACAGTATTGAAAGCAAGATCACGTATAACCTCCCTGATACCATCATGAGCACAAATTGTCATAAATGCACAATAGAATGGATGTCTGGACAGAATGAAAAGTTAGTAAGTATGGGGCATGAGGGAGGTCATTCCAGAACTACAGAGCCACTGCAGAGAATGGGGGGATTTTGCTGTGTGTTTTTATTTTTTTATTTATTTTTTGCTTCACAGTGTGATCAAATGTATGCAAACACTACTGTGGTAATTGGACAGTTAATATATGGAGGAAGGGCCATCTCTCTACCATAAAAACATAAGAATAACCCTACTGGGTCAGGTCAATCTTATCCAGCATCCTCACAGTGGCCAACCAGATGTGTTTAGGAAGCCTGCAAGCAGGACGTGGGCAACAGCACTCTCCCCACTTGCAGTTCCTAGCAACTGGTGTTCAGAAGTATACTGCATTCAGTGGGGAGGGCATCACAAGATACAAGTAGACCTAGGAGTTGTAATTGCCAAAGGGGCTACTATAGAACTCAACAGCGCCTAGGAAAAGTACATTTCCAAAGTCTCCTGGGACATGAAATGCCATGCAGGGAGAAAGCAGTGGTAGATTATTTTCTCAACGTTTTTCCTGCAATAAAATGGGGAGGTATTTGTCCTCACCCATCATAACTTTTGCAATATATATATATATATATATATATATATATATATATATATGGAGCATCAGTTGCACCTATAGGTAAGGGTGTGAGAGCACATGTGAGACTGGAGGGCCAACCAGGAAGAAGGAGCTTGGTAATTGTTTATTACCATTTTGCAATGCCCAATCTCCCTTCCTTTGTGCAGTGTGGGCATGTCCAGTTGCCTGTTGAAGGGGCTGAGTATGACGTTTTGTGGAGACATTCCTTGTTTGACTTTCGGGCCCCTCTGCTTTTTGCCTACTTCACATTTCTGGGCATAGCTGTCGATTTACAGATTGAAAATAAAGGACCAGCAGCCTTGAAAATAAGGGATCAGCAGCCAAAATAAGGGATTTTCCGAACACAGGTATGTTTAACTTCTGAGCCCCTCCGAGCCAAAGGCAGAAAACCCAGCCAGCAGCCAAACAAAGCCTCGAGCGGTGGTTCCCACAGTGCAGCAACCCGGCAAAAGGCATGCAGCAAAGAAAACTACCATCACCTCTCCGCTGGGAAGCACTGAGCAAAGGCGAGTCCCCAGGCAACGCGGCTGGTTTGATCGGCACAAGGCATGCAAGCTCCACCCCCCAGTCATTCTTAGACTCCTTATTGGGTGAGCAACGCAGCCAAGCAACACAGTTGGAGCCTCCCTCCTCCCTGGCCGGCAGGGAGGGAGGGAGAGGAGCTGCTTCCTTTGAAACCCAGGAAATTTCAGGGACATCATCAATAAGGGACAGCAGCGGGACACAGCACTGGGATAAGGGACTTTCCCGCCAATTAAGGGACAGTTGACAGCTTTGCTCCTGGGACTTATTTGATTGGTTTTTGAGGAGTGGCATGGTATGACAGGCTATTGTTGGGAGTGAGTATGGGTAGGTAAGGAAGCCGAAAGGGGAAAATAGTAGAGTTACGTAAGCGTATCCTTCAGAGATTTGATAGTGCTTTAAGCCTTGTGGGAATTTACCAGGTTGCTGGTAACTTTGTTGCACAATGAGTTCCTGCTTGTTGGGTTGTATTTTTCTGTTGTGCGACATTAAAACCCAGTGGTCTGCTAGTGCAAGAGGACACTGGAAAGAACCCCAAATGTTTTTCAGATGATTCTGTGAAAAAGTTTGGAAAAACTGAATGCCTTCTAAGCCAGGCTGGGAGCAGCTCAAGTACTATGTGTGCAGTCCACCGGATATATATATATACTTGTGCTCCACTTTCCCCCTTTTAAAACTAGATCATTATTACTTCTTGTGTGGATGTGAACTAACTAGCTAGGCCATTTACTGTGTGGCTTAAGTCCAGCAATTTAAAATACATTATGTATTACTGCACAGTTCCCTGGCAACCCAGGGGGGAAAATGAGATTATATATAATTACCCCTCTCTTTCCCATTTGCCGGCAAGAAAAGTCTACACTTAGCAATTGACAATGGATTTAAAGAAAATGGAAAGAAGCACTTTTATAACCATGCATATTAACAGAAGGGCAAAGCAGCCCTGAGAAGGGCTTGCTTCTGTGCAGATCTCCAAGGGCTTCCACCTTGTCATAGGATTAGCAATCAGAGAATTTTCTTTACAGGTAGAGATAGATGGTGCTCTGGGTGTGATGTTCTGTGTGGGATTTTTGTTTTCAAAGCTGTGCTTTTTATAGCAATGGCACATTTTCATTTCACACAAAAGAGTGCTGATCTTTAAGTCTCATGTGAGAATATTCTGCAGGGAAGCTGAGCGGGTGGGATTGAAATGATGCTGTGTCAGGATGTGTTTCCATGTGTTTTGCCCACTGCAAGAGTCATGGTGATCCATGCACTGGTAAGCTCCCAATTCAATTACTATATGCATGATATATGGGGCTTGCATTGAAGACAAAAGCTTCAGCTAGTGCAGAATATATCTGCCAGAATTTTAACTGGTACAACCAGGTTTTCTCATATTACAGTAGTGTTGAAATAGCTGTACTAGCTGCTTATTTTGCTTCAAGGCCCAAGCTGAGGTGATGATTCTTCAGTGCTCTGAACGCAGAAATCTCACACAGAGGCTCTTCCTTAATCCCCCTGGCAAGGCAAAGGATTCTCCTTTAATAACCACCCCCAACAACAGTTGATTATATATTTATCTTATCAATGTAACAGGTAGATTACAGTATACTGGATGGACTTGTTTGTACAGTGGTACCTCGGGTTACATATGCTTCAGGTTACATACGCTTCAGGTTACAGACTCCGCTAACCCAGAAATAGTACCTCGGGTTAAGAATTTTGCTTCAGGATGAGAACAGAAATCGTGCTCCGGTGGCGCGGCAGCAGCAGGAGGCCCCATTCGCGAAAGTGGTGCTTCAGGTTAAGAACAGTTTCAGGTTAAGAACGGACCTCCAGAACGAATTAAGTTATTAACCCGAGGTACCACTGTATATATTTTGAAGTTCTGAACCAGATCTTTTTGTTTCAGTACTTTATACAAAAGACATGTATAATATGTGCAAAATCTTCAAATTGTTCACCGTAAAAATCCAGTTAATAAACAACCCCCCACACAACACAATCCAAATCTACATGTATGTATTTCTCTCAAGTCTGACCATGTAGGTCGTCAACCACTGCCTGGATGCAGTGCTGGGTTGGGTGAGGATTAGTAACCTGAAGCTGAATCCTTCTAAGGTGGTGCTGACCTTTAAAGCCCTAAATGGCCTCAAAGGCCCAGTATACCTGAAGGAGCGTCTCCACTCCCATCGTTCAGCCTGGACACTGAGGTCCAGCTCCGAGGGCCTTCTGAAGGTTCCCTCATTGTGAGAAATGAGGTTACAGGGAACCAGGCAGAAGGCCTTCTTGGTTGTGGCACCCGCCCTGTGGAATGCCCTCCCATCAGATGTCAAGTATATAAACAACTACCTGACTTTTAGAAGACATCTGAAGGCAGCCCTGTTTAGGGAAGATTTTAATGTCTAATGCTGTATTGTATTTTTAATATTCAGGTGGGAGCCACCCAGAGTGGCTGGGGAAACCCAACCAGATGGTATATATAATAAATTATTATTATTATTATTATTATTATTATTATTATTATTATGGAGGCCCTGTTGGTGAGGTGCTCTTTAAAACCAACTCCATTGAAATTTATGGATATTGGTACTATTTCTGATTTTTAAAAAAATGATTTTTCTTGTAAACTGCTTTGGTATTTTGTACTTTGCAAATACAGTGGTACCTTGGTTCTCAAACTTAATCCGTTCTGGAAGTCCGATCCTTATATGAGACGTATGGTTATTAACTTTAGATCTGCCCATTTCGTTGCAAAGATTCTAAAATTAAGAAACCGCACAAGAAAATGGTACATCTATTTTACAAGGGTATTCACCAATCTGACCCGTACACCGCTATGCACCAGGATAGGTGCTGTCGGTGTTGATGCTGGGCCTGTGCGCCATAAAGAACAAATAGACGGGGGAATGGAGCCGGGATCTATTACCCCACAGGGAGTGGTAAGCCTGCCCGCAAATGACTTAATTGATTTCCTACATCCCCCGCTTGGTACCCTGGTCTCTACGTGCAACGAGCCTGGCATTGGACTACCCAAGCAAGACCAGTCTGAAATGCTCTCGTCCTCATATGCCTCGATGCCGGAATTGGAGGCTTCCATTATTCTAAGCCCAATACGCAATCAAGATCCACAGCTTTTGTCAAATTTTGACCCGCTAGCAGTACCGACGCAAGATGCAGTTGTCGACCTGCTACCTATACAGCCTATACGGGTCGGCAAAATCCTTGCTCTGCGAAAACCAGCTGAACATCATGATACATCAGCTGAACAACATGATATTTGTAACGGTGTCATCGAAGATCCTCTGGGCCAAATCAACCTATTGGCCCCTCAGTTAAAGTTATCATACCTATCTAGGGACCAGCGATCTCAAACCCGGAACCACCAAGCAGGGCAGATAGAGGAGGAGCCCAGCTCAGGAGCCTCAAACCATCGGAAAAGAGATTGACTGCCACTATTTCCACCATCACCCTATTTCCACATTCTATCCTGGAATGTGGCGGGATGGCTATCTAAGCAGGGTGACGTCGACCTTCTGGATTTCCTTACAAAATTTCAGATTTTATGTCTACAGGAGACATGGTGTCTAGATCTCCATGTCCCCTCTTTACAGGGATACGAAGCCTTTGCTACCCCTGCGATAAAACCAAAATCCCGAGGCCGACCTAGTGGTGGTTTAGTCACTTTTGTTTCTACCAAGCTAAAATGCAAGGCCCGGCAACAGCAGTGGGTGAAGAGTAACAATTTACAAATCTCACTTATTTCTAGCAGTGAAGGAGGAGATTTCCTTTGCTTTAATATATATATCCCTCCCATAGGCACCCCTCCCCAGTCGTCACAATTCTGGGAAGATTTAGAGCTATGTTTGGAGAAGGCTGAACTAGAATTCCCTGGCATGGATATCCTGCTGGCAGGTGATTTCAACGCCAGGATAGGAAATGACATTAATACGTACTGCTCTAAATCTCAGTTCCTGCCAGAGGCAGATTGGTTTATTCCCTGGTCCTCAGACGATAAGGTCTTGAATAAGGCAGGCATTACATTAATGGAGACTGCCTTCAAACATAATTTGTATAGTTTGCATGGTACCCATATGGACAGGTCAGGGGGTTTCTTTTCTTTTCTTGGACCCAGAGGTGCGAGCGTTATTGATTATATCCTGGTCTCCCCAAAACTCTTGGAGAGGTCACAGGGCTTCAGGACTTTCAATAGAATTGAGAGTGATCATCTTCCTATATCAATTTCACTAATTCCCCGTGGTGTGGAGGATCCGCAATACCGCAATCACTGTGCAGACCCACCTCCAACTCTGGCCCTTCGTAGGCGTAAATGGAACAGCGACCTGGAATCTAAAATCAAATTACACCTGCATTCATCAGACTTACTGGCCTTGAGAGACCAGTGCATCTCATCCATTTCTGACCCCTTTTCAACATTTCAGCAGGTCTCAGAGTCGCTCTTCCCACTACTCACGAATTCCAACCCTCCCAAAAAACAAAACAACTCGAGGGCCTGGTTCGACAAAGACTGTAGGAATCTAAGATCTTTGCTCAGGAAACTACAAAATAAGGTAAAACAGGAAGGGACCTTGTCCTCATTGGAAAACCTGCACAGGTGGCGTTCTCATTATAAAAATACTCTAAAATTTAAGAAATCCCTCTACAGAAAGGAACAATGGGAGGCACTTGACAAAGCGATCAAATTGCGGGATGACAAAAAGTTCTGGGAAATAATTGCCCAGGGAGTTTCACCCAAAGGGAAAATTGTAACCAACAGTATCTCATCTAACTTATGGTACCAACACTTTTCCCGGCTATATACAGCTCCAAACATTGCTAAACCGAGCCAGTTTCCTCCTCTTAAAAACGATCTATTAATGGGCTGGGATCCTGTTACCGAATCAGAATGTTTACAGCTAATTAAAACACTCAAGAATGGCAAAGCTCCCGGTGAGGATATGATTCCTCCTGAGGTATTTAAACTAAATGCCCAGTGGTGGGCTGCTATTTTGGCCCAACTTTTACGGTAATAAATGATATATGCAAAATCCCAGAAAACTGGAAACTGAGCCTGGTAGCCCCCATCTATAAGAAGGGAGACCCCCAAGACCCCTCAAACTATCGCCCCATAAGTCTCCTGGACATTGTGTATAAACTTTACACTCGCTACCTGCTAAATAAACTGGTTGACTGGGCTGACCACTCTAACCTGCTTAATCCGGAACAGGCAGGGTTTAGAAAGGGCCATAGTACAACAGGCCATTGTTTGGTACTACAGACAATGATAGATAAGTATACAAAGGTACATAAGAGCAAACTTTTTGTGGCTTTCGTAGATCTCACATCCGCTTTTGATTCAATCTGTAGGGACAAATTATGGCAAAAATTATATGAAACAGATATTGATAGACGACTTCTCAAAATACTTAGAGAGTTACATTCAGACACCACAGTTAAAATCAGAACTGGGATGTCAGGCAACTATACTGATCCACTGCCACTGGGGAAAGGGGTTAAACAGGGCTGTTTGTTAGCGCCGTTCCTCTTTAATTTCTATATAAATGACATTGTTCAACATATGGCAAAGTATAAGTCATCAGCTCCTGCCCTGGAAGGCAAACACCTGAATATATTACTATATGCTGATGACATGGCTGTCATGGCACTTACTCGAAGGGGCCTACATAGCATGCTGGAGGGGCTCGCAGCTTATTGTTCCCAAAACTCTCTAAAGATAAATTATGACAAAACAAAAATTGTGGTATTTACTAGAGCTCGCCACACATTTAGATGGTCTTTAGATGAACACAAAATTGAACAGTGTCTTTTTTTTAAATATCTTGGTATCACTTTCCAAGCTACATCTAGCTGGCTTGCCCACTTCAAGACTGTAGCCCTTCTAACACGTAGGACAATCGGTGCCCTGCTCAGCTTTTTTTATTCGAGGGGAGGGCAACTGGTGATCCCGGCATTAAAAGCTTTTGTTGGAAAAGTGATTCCCCAGATGCTATATGGAGTAGAACTCTGGGGATGGAATCAGAAGCTGTTAGAACGGCTTGAAATCTTCCAAAATTTTTACCTCAGAAGAATTCTAGGCCTCCCTCAGAGTACTCCGGCAGCTCTCCTAAGAGTGGAAGTAGGATTACCTTCTGTGTCTGCCAGGGCCCACTTAAGATTCCTGCGTTTTTCACCAACCTCACAGATGCCCCGAACACCTTATTGGCTAAACAAGCCTTTGTATTATTACAAAATAATACTACTTGGCATAAAAACCTACTAGATATCCTATCCAGATACAATCTACCTGAGTTTAATACCCTTAAATTGTGGAGCCCTGATAAAGTTCGGGAATGGATCTTTGAAAAAGACGCCTTTTGGACTCCACAAAGATAAAAAACTCTGGGTTTTCCTACTGGTTTCCCCGAGTAAAAGCAGTCAAAATCTGTGCCAACTACTTGGTGGAGATCACTGACCCCACCCTTCGGAGAGCTTTCACTATGGCACGGTTTCAAACACTGCCAACTGCATATCTGACCGGTAGATTCACAAAAACCCCAGTAGAACATCGTTTATGCCCTTGCCTTATGAAAATTAAAGAGGATCTTACACATTACCTCCTCTATTGCCCCATCTACTCGAGCTTTAGAGACGCATTGCTGCAAATTATACCCAACTCTATAACCAATCCTGAAGATAGAGTAAAATTTTTGTTAGTTGATGCAAACCCACGTATTACCCATGTGGTAGCGGTTTTTGTGATAAAGGCCATGAAAGCCAGGGAAAGACTTATGGATGACAATGTAAAGACCCCTTCATCGTCTGTTTAACTCGTTGCTCGTTTTCCCTCTCTTTCTATTTTGTGGGATGAAGGTTTTGTTGGCGTAGTATGTAATGAATTTTAATATCTTTTAACTATTGTTGTGTTAATGTTTGTGTACAGGCATGGTCCTCACAATAAACGGATTTGATCTTTGATCTTTATGGATATTGGTACTATTTCTGATTTTTAAAAAAATGATTTTTCTTGTAAACTGCTTTGGTATTTTGTACTTTGCAAATACAGTGGTACCTTGGTTCTCAAACTTAATCCGTTCTGGAAGTCCGATCCAAAACCAAAGCGTTCCAAAACCAAGATGTGCTTTCCCATAAAAAGTAATGCAAAACGGATTAATCTGTTCCAGACTTTTAAGAACAACCCCTAAAACAGCAATTTTACATGAATTTTACTATCTCATGAGACCATTGATCCATGAAATGAAAGCAATAAACAATGTACTTTACTATAAAATAAATAAGACAGCATTGTAGATGATAAAAATTAAAATAATAATAATAAATTCTTACCTGCACTGATGATAGTCATTGTTTGGATGGGGGGCTTTTATCCATTTCTGCAGTCACACAATCAATCAATCAATCAATCAATCAGTAGCTGAACTGGGTTCCACACAGTCACAAAAACAAATTAACCGAAAAAGCCTCAAAAGCAGAAATGCAAAATAAATAGCAAAAACAAAAGCCCCGAACTTAATCCATTCTGGAAGGCCATTGACTTCTGAAATATTCAAAAACCAAGGCACAGCTTCTGATTGGTGCAGGTGCCCCGGAAACAATAGCCAACAACTGTATTGGACATTTGGCTTCCGAAAAACGTTTGAAAACCAGAACACTTACTTCCGGGTTTTTGGCATTTGAGAACCAAGGCGTTTGAGAACCAAGGTACCACTATAAGTGAATATTTTACTCACAGAATATCCAGAAGTTATAGCAAACAAGTATCCATTTGTTGGCAGGTAAACAAAGATTTAAAAAGGCTCCAAATGACTTTAAAAGGGGGGGGGGGGACTTTGTTTCCTTACAAAGAAGATCATGCAATCTTTGCTTTATCAAAAATGCAAGCTGTAAAATCTCCCTTTTGGAGAGATTCAGTTCACTTGGCTTTTCTTGCAGCTGGGAACCATTGTCCTTATGGCTTCTTCTTTGCACAAAAAGAGAAAGAGAGGTGGAAACAGAGGCTGCTGTGAGCCTGCCAAGCCAAACTCACTCTGGTAACTTGTGCTCACGTTCAGGTTAACCTTTTCATGCATGTAAGTGTGAATCAGTGGCTGTTTCTTACAACAGATTCCCATGGAAAAAGACACTCAGGGGAGGGGTGCTAGATCATGTGTGCTATATTTGAGATTCCTGCATTGCAAAGTGTTGAATTAGATGACACTCAGGGTCCTTTCCAACTCTACAGTCTTATGATTCTATGAAACTGTTACACTGCTAAACTAGAGTCTGGAAGCAGTGATGGGGTGGGGGTGGGGGGGTTGTTCTCATACCTGAAAATTGCATAAAAACATTTTCGGAACAAGATCACACCCCTCCTGGAGATACCACTTGCTCTTCAACTATGGTCATTCTAAAAGAGAGAGAGCCTTGCCACACTGCTACAGTGCTACATGTCATAGTAACGTCATTTCTGGATTACTGTACTGCACTCTATATGGGGCTACCCATGAAGCCTTCACTTAGTGCAGAAGGCTGCTGCTGGGATGTTGGTTAGAATAATCATATAAATATCATGTCATCTGCCAATATGTTATTATACCCAATTCAATGTGTTAACAATACCTCTGACCATTAGGTCCAGTCGTGGACGACTCTGGGGTTGTGCCGCTCATCTCGCTCTATAGGCCGAGGGCGCTGGCGTTTGTCCACAGACAGCTTCTGGATCATGTGGCCAGCATGACTAAGCCTCTTCTGGTGAACCAGAGCAGCGCACGGAAAAGCTGTTTACCTTCCCACCGGAGTGGTACCTATTTATCTACTTGCACTTTGGCGTGCTTTTGAACAGCTAGGTGGGACCGAGCAACGGGAGCTCACCCCGTCGCAGGGATTTGAACAGCCAACCTTCTGATCAGCAAGCCCTAGGCTCTGTGGTTTAGACTACAGCGCCACCCGTGTCCTGGTCATACAATAACATACAAATAACTAAATGGCTTATGATCAACCTGTCTGATGGAGCATCTTTTCCTTTATCTTGTGTCTTGAAGTCAATAGAGGGTCCCGTTCTTGCTGTCCTGTGAGCATGTATGGACCATTATGGGTCCTTACCATTGTGGTGTCCTAACTGTGAAACTCTAATATATGCAGGTGGGCTTTCAATGGCAGGTTTTAACTATCCTAGTCTCTCAGGCATTGGGTCAGAATGAATAAGCTGCCTAGGACTTGTGACAGATCATTATCTGCTGTATCCCACTAAAATTAATGAACCTAAGTTAGTTATGTCCATTAACTTTAACAGGCCTACTCTAAGTAGGACTGACATGGGATACAACTCTATTTATTATTGAATCCAATTTTGTTGCTTTTATGATGATTTATCCTTAATTGCCAATTTTAAAGTTTATCTTTTTCCTATTACTTAACTGTGTACAATCCTAGAATTCACTAAAAGAAGGGCGATCAAGAGCTGCAATCAATGAATCAATCAATCAATCAATCAATCAATCAATAAATGCATTGATTGTAGAGGTAGAAAAATTTGACTGGAGGATTAGAATTCTGAAGCAATCTTTCTGCCCCTGACTCCACCCTGAAATACTTTTGCCTAACCCATCTTTGGCATTGTTCTAGGGGTTGTTTTTAATTATTTATTGTGTGTGTTCCATTTAATTGCGTATTGATCCCTTCCAGTGATTTACATTTTAACATGGTCTGAGTTATATTCCTCACACTGCCCCATAAATTCTTCTTTCTGATTAGTCCACTCTCGGCTAAGTGCTGGGAGTGGGCAGAATCAGCTCTAAAATGCTGATCTTAACAGAGTACTATGAGTTTTATATAGAGCTGAACCAAATTTCCTTCCCCATGCTCATCTTCCGCAAAAAATGAAAAAAAGGAAAAGAAGTGCAGGAAGTAGGATAATTTTGCTTCTTTCTGGGTGATGGAAGAAATGTAATGAAATGTTCGGTGGTGGTGGTGGTGGGTTGGGTTTGGTTTGCGTTATTACAGGGTTGGGGAACCTTAGGCAGGAGGATTGAATGCAGCCTTCCAGGGCTCTATATCTTGACACTCTTCCCAGGCCCATTTGAGGCAGCCTCAGCATAGATAGATACTGAAATCCTTCAACAATGCTTGGCTGGCAAGGGCGGGGTATAAATTATTATTATTATTATTATTATTATTATTATTATTAACAACACTACCATGAAGGGGTTCTCCTACACCACATCTAAGACTACCTCTGCCAGCTAAAGTAGGGAGGTTGCAGTACAGTGGGGTTTGAAGGACACTAACTAAACCTTCTGGGAGTTCTGGGAACTCCCAGAAGTGCAAGCTGGATTTCGAAGGGGCAGAGGAACCAGAGACCAAATTGCAAACATGCGCTGGATTATGGAGAAAGCTAGAGAGTTCCAGAAAGACATCTACTTCTGCTTCATTGACTATGCAAAAGCCTTTGATTGTGTCGACCACAGCAAACTATGGCAAGTTCTTAAAGAAATGGGAGTGCCTGATCACCTCACCTGTCTCCTGAGAAATCTCTATGTGGGACAAGAAGCTACAGTTAGAACTGGATATGGAACAACTGTTTGGTTCAAAATTGGGAAAGGAGTACGGCAAGGCTGTATATTGTCTCCTGTTTATTTAACTTATATGCAGAATTCATCATGCGAAAGGCTGGGCTGGATGAATCCCAAGCTGGAATTAAGATTGCCGGAAGAAATATCAACAACCTCAGATATGCAGATGACACAACCTTGATGGCAGAAAGTGTGGAGGAATTAAAGAACCTTTTAATGAGGGTGAAAGAGGAGAGCGCAAAATATGGTTTGAAGCTCAACATCAAAAAAACGAAGATCATGGCCACTGGGCCCATCACCTCCTGGCAAATAGAAGGGGAAGAAATGGAGGCAGTGAGAGATTTTACTTTCTTGGGCTCCATGATCACTGCAGATGGTGACAGCAGTCATGAAATTAAATGGGCACAGGACATTGGACATAACATTATGTTTGCTGACTGGGAACAGTTGTGGACCACAGGTATGAAATTTACGGCATGTAATGCCTTAAGAGAGAATATTATGAAAATGATATACAGGTGGTACATAACCCCAGTCAAGCTTGCAAAAATTTATCACTTGCCCGATAACAAATGTTGGAAATGTAAAGAAACTGAAGGTACATTTTTCACCTTTGGTGGACGTGCCCAAAGATTAAGGTTTTCTGGGAAATGATATATAATGAATTAAAAAGGTATTTAAGTATACCTTCCCTAAGAAACCAGAGGCCTTTCTCCTGGGCATAGTCGGCCAAATGGTGTTAAAAAGGATAGAACTTTCTTTATGTATGCAACAACAGCAGCAAGAATACTCATCGCAAAGTATTGGAAGACACAAGAACTTCCCACGCTGGAGGAATGGCAGATGAAACTTATGGACTATATGGAATTGGCGGAAATGACTGGTAGAATCCGTGACCAGGGAGAAGAGTCGATGGAGGAAGACTGGAAAAAATTCAAAGACTATCTTCAGAAACACTGCAAAATTAAGGAATGTTAAAGTGATGTTGGACTGAAAATAAGTGGTTTCCAGCTGCACAGGTTAAAGTTAATGATAGACTAAGATTAAAGATCAAGATTAAAGATGTTTAAAGAAATGGAAATTTGATATTAAAAGGGAAAATTTTAACGTTATATGATACTAAGATCAAGGATTAGGTTTAAAGAAGTTGAAGTTATATATTTTAATATTTTATTAAATTAAAGATTGGGATTAAAAAGTGGAAAAGAAACTGCTGGACAAATAATTTGGATTGGAATACAAAAGAGGGAGGTATGAGGAAGTCCAGAAAATAAGTAATCTAAAAATGGAAATGGAAAAGAGAGTTTGTTTTTAATTGTTATGTTTTTTTTTCTCGTTTTTTATTGTTGAGTTATGTATTGCTTTTTGTGTGTGTTGTTTCTTTGTTGTTTAAAACTTTAATAAAAATTATTTTTTTAAAAAAATGAAATTAAAAGACGCCTGCTCCTTGGGAGAAAGGCGATGGCAAACCTAGACAGCATCTTAAAAAGCAGAGACATCACCTTGCCAACAAAGGTCCGTATAGTTAAAGCCATGGTTTTCCCAGTAGTGATGTATGGAAGTGAGAGCTGGACCATAAAGAAGGCTGATCGCCGAAGAATTGATGCTTTTGAATTATGGTGCTGGAGGAGACTCTTGAGAGTCCCATAGACTGCAAGAAGATCAAACGTATCCATTCTGAAGGAAATCAGCCCTGAGTGCTCCCTGGAAGGACAGATCGTGAAGCTGAGGCTCCAATACTTTGGCCACCTCATGAGAAGACAAGACTCCCTGGAAAAGACCCTGATGTTGGGAAAGATGGAGGGCACAAGAAGAAGGGGACGACAGAGGACGAGATGGTTGGACAGCGTTCTCGAAGCTACAAACATGAGTCTAACCAAACTGCGGGAGGCAGTGAAAGACAGGAGTGCCTGGCGTGCTCTGGTCCATGGGGTCACGAAGAATCGGTCACGACTAAACGACTAAACAAACAAACAAACAAAACTAAACCTTGTTTCTGTCACAGCACAACAAACAGTCCCTCAAAAACAGACAAAGTGTTCATCAGTCTAGTGATGGGATGGAATTTTAATGGACAACCATGGTTCTCCATGCCTGGCAGCATGCCCCATTACACCAACCTGCCCTGCCCTAGCTGACGCCTCCCTTACCTGGGTTGTATGGCAGTGCCTGTGAAGTGGTGGTAGTGGGCTCAGGTATAATCCCTTGAGATTTCACTGATATATCACCAGAAGCTACCACCTAAGCCTCAAGTGACAGCAATGGATGCAGAAATGCCCCCAGCCCTCCTTTAGAGGTAGTCTAACCCCATAAAGAAGGGACGCAGGTGGTGCTGTGGGTTAAACTACAGAGCCTAGGACTTGCCGATCAGAAGGTCGGCGGTTCGAATCCCCGCAACGGGGTGAGCTCCCATTGCTCGGTCCCTGCTCCTGCCAACCTAGCAGTTTGAAAGCACATCAAAGTACAAGTAGATTAATAGGTATGGCTCTGGCGGGAAGGTAAACGGTGTTTCCGTGCGCTGCTCTGGTTTGCCAGAAGCGGCTTACTCATGCTGGCCACATGACCCGGAAGCTGTACGCCGGCTCCCTCGGCCAATAAAGTGAGATGAGCGCCGCAACCCTAGAGTCAGTCACAACTGGACCTAATGTTCAGGGGTCCCTTTACCTTTTTAACCCCATCAAGAGCAGGCAACCTCCCACCCATCTAGTCAATGGAACTGCCCACTAACAGTGCCTTCGTATTATTTGGATTGAGCTTCAGTTTGTTGGCTCTCCATTACGAAAGAAATACAGTGGTCCAGCACATCCACTGCCACATCTGCAGATGTAAAGGAGAAGTAAAGCTGTGTACCATTAGCATATTGCTGACAACTTACTCCAAAACGCCTGATACTCCCACTCATAGGTTTCATGTTGATGTTAAGCAGCATGGGGGATAAAACCGAACTCTGAGGAAACCTGCATTGAAGACTCCATGGGGCTGAAGAACACTCACCAAGTATCGCCCTCTGGAAATGACCATCCAAGTACTGTAGGACTGGAACCACTGCAAACCAGTGCCACCTATCTGCAACTCAGACAGCTACTCCAGAAGGATACCATAGTTGGTGGTATTGAAAGCTACTTGGAGCTTGAGGAGAATTAACAAGAACACATTTCCCCTGTCTCTTTCCTGACAGAGGTCATCATACAGAGAGACCAAAGCATTTTCTGTGCCAAAACCAGGTCTAAAACCTGATAGAAATCTAGAAAATCAGTTTTCTCCAAGAGTGCCTGGATGGGGTCCATGAACACCCCCTCAAGAACCTTGTCCAAGAAGGGGAGATTGGCAACCAGCAAGTAATTACTTAAATTTTCCGAATCCAGGGAGGGCTTTTTAAGGCCTTACCGCTGCTTCCTTCAAGTAGGCAGGGACTACCCACTCTCACAAGGAAACATGACTCACTTCCCTGGCCCAGCCAGCTGGCCCCTCCCTGCTAGTTTTTATAAGCCAAGAGGGGCAAAGGTTCAGAGCGCAAGCAGTTGCCCTAAGCGATCCAAGCACCTTGTCTAATGTCCTGAAGCCTTACTAACTGAAACTCATCCAACAGAACAGGATGAGACAGTGTTCTGGACACCCCTTGAGATTCATCTGCTATAACAGTGGAGTCAAGGTCTCAGCAGAAACTTATGAGAAATTCACACAATGCTGATAAATTTTCATTGGGGTTTCTTTCTTTTAAAAATGCATACATTGTTTCCTAAGGGTAAAGGTAAAGGGACCCCTGACCATTAGGTCCAGTCATGACCAACTCTGGGGTTGCGGCACTCATCTCACTTTATTGGCCAAGGGAGCCGGCGTACAGCTTCCAGGTCATGTGGCCAGCATGACTAAGCCGCTTCTGGCGAACCAGAGCAGCGCACGGAAACGCCGTTTACCTTCTCGCCGGAGCGGTACCTATTTATCTACTTGCACTTTCTTACCAAATTTTTATAAGCATATTGCTGTAGAAATGTGGACAGCTGAATTTAAGGTTGGAAAAATGAGAAACAGAAACCAAGACTGACAGATTTGTCCATCCCAAAAAGAGTTCATGTGGCCACATTTATTGTGAATGATCGTGTGTGTGTGTTCATGTTCATTCAATTCCAATTCACATCAAACCCATAGTCAAAGGGTGATATTCAATGATAGTTCTACTCAGGGTAGACCCACTGAGGTGAACAGACATGACTACTTTAGTTTCATTAACTTCTTTTAAATATTTTTGCTCAAGGAGTCTACTCAGGGTAGATCTTAGTTGAGCACAACCCAAAATTGTCATTACAAATATTTCAGTGTATGATTATGGGAGTAAGTTTCTGTCCCTTATGATTTCTTTTGACTGTGGAGCACAGCAGTAAAAGGAACATTCATATTTTTTAAAAAACAAGTTGTTGCTTTTTAGTGGTGATTCAGCCAGTACCTTGAGGGTGAAAAAATTCAAAAGGAGTTCATTTTATTCAACGTGTCACTTTACGCCTGGGAGCAAAGCTGAAACCATGGAAAGTGTTGTGGACTTTCATCTTGTTTGTCATCTAATGTGCTGAAGCCGCTTTTCTAAATTTCCCATATTAACAACATCCCATGGAAAATGGAGAAGGGATTAAAAATGAGCAATGCTGGGATGCTGAAGAACATCTTTGACATTACAGTGCATTAACTGCTAATTAGATGCAATGCAAGGTGACATTTGATGCCATGTCATCCGTCACATGTAAGGGGATGCATTTTCTGTTGCGACACCTGCTAATATTTCTCCAAGTGAACCAGTAGCATGTGTTTGCATCAGTTCCTATGACAAACTCAACCATATTATCAAAGTGAAGATGCAAGTCTAATGGTCTTGTGCTAGGACTGAGCTGAACGTTCTCTAACGAAAAATCTCTTCTAATATCAGAGGGCTTCTCAACTCCAAGCGTAACTCCCAAAAAATGATAGATCCAGAACAAATCAGGGGCCCACCAAAAAATCTGTCCTCAACGCCCTGAACAGGAAAACTAGCAAAACCTATACTGCGTAGGAAGGACACCACAAGAAGCAGACAGGCACATTTAATGAGGAGCACGCCTAAACAGCCATGCAACCCTCCCCTCTCCAATAGATTCAAATGAGCCACATTGCCACCCAACTTCCCTTAGGATCTAACCACCTGAGTCTCCTTAGGAGGGAAGTTGGAGTGTGAAAAATTTGCTCCCTCACTAATGGGTGGGAGGAGCATTCTCTGTGTGGCAGTGTGTGTGAGAGAGGAGGAATTTCTGATTTGCTAATCCTCTGTAGCCTGCCAGAGTGGCTTCACCACATGGTTTCCTATAGGTCTCATAATCAGAGAAAATGGGATTTTTAAAGTAACAGCTTCTTTCTGCCTCCCCCTTACAATGGTCTGGCCTCCTGCCACATTTCAGATCCATGAGGGAAATGCTTGAGTCTGTGTCTGCCGGGCTCTTTACTTAATTACTTTAGTATTCTTTCACCCTACTTTTTGAGCTAGCTGGCTAAACAAAGCCCCTTACAAAGAGCTTTTTTAAAAAAACCCAACCCCAATAACCATTTCAACAATGAAGCATAGAGGGGAGGAAG